TTTGTCTTTTTGGATGTACTCTAACTCATTTTTATCTTTTTGTTATTATAAGTGCATTATTTTCTAATGTTTCTTAGGGTGAAGACAAGTATACCTTTATTGAAGATGTTGACAATCCACAATCTGTTACTATTCTAATTAAAGGCCCAAACAAGCACACATTATCACAGATAAAGGATGCAGTCCATGACGGACTCAGGGCAGTCAAGAATGCCATTGAGGATGGTAAGGGAAGAGAGGGTGAAGTTCAGTGATCCCACCTTGTGCTATTTCATTGAGTCAATATTTCAGTCACAAGTCGATTTTGTTGAATTATTAGTTGTTAGTATTTTTTTACCATACAAAAAGGCCAACTACCTTTTCTGATACATGTACATTTTGATGTCCTTATGCTATGTAGAAAGTTTGAGCTGATTTCTACTTTAATTTTCGGAGTTATAGACATTTTTAAAAACTAGCAAAATTTTGGAAAATTGTTCCAAAATCACCCCCAATTTTTATTACATTTTTGGTATATATTGACGTCCTTATACTATGTAGAAAGTTTAAGCTGATTCCAACTTAAATTTTTGAGTTGAGCATTAATTTTTTGCTCTCTATGAAAATCATTTCAATCAAAGCAGGCAGTCCACACAAGTTGTAAACCACTACTCATGTAGCTATAGTTAATTGCTATATACTAGCAGAGTAAATAAGAAAACTACAATATGCACACGTAATAGTCACTAAGTGAATTTAAATTTAAAAATATTTTTTAACCATTTTATCAGGGTCTGTTGTCCCCGGGGGCGGAGCTTTTGAAGTTGCTGTGTACACTGCACTGAACTCACCTGACTTCCTCTCTACTGTGTCTGGTCGTGCTAAGTTTGGTGTCAAAGTGAGTTAACATCAATCCTGATTCCTTTTATACATGCTCATTCAATTATGTGTACTAGTAATTGCTATAATCACGATGTACCATTTAATATATCTCTCTCTCTCTCTCTCTCTCTCTCTCTCTCTCTCTCTCTCTCTCCCTCTCTCTCTCTCTCTCTCTCTCTCCCTCTCTCCCTCTCTCTCTCTCAAGGCTTATGCTGAAGGTCTTATGGTCATTCCAAAAGTCCTTGCCCAGAACTCTGGTTTTGATCCCCAGGACTCAGCAGTGAAGCTGCTAGAAGAGTACGAGAAGGCAAGCGGACAACTGGTAGGACTCAACTTGTCTTCTGGTGATGCCATGCTACCTGCTGATGAGGGCATTTGGGACAACTATCGTGTCAAGAGACAATTACTCCATTCATGGTAAGGGAATGTGGTTTGGACAGGAAAGAGGCTGTTACTCCATGTCACTTTCCCAATATGAATTGCATCTGTACTACAGTGTTTTGATAAGCCGATTTGATGTACAATTGGCTGTATGAATTTACCATTAGCCCAATACGGTATGCAACTATGCATCATTCGGGCCAATTTGCTTAAGAAATCACAAGGGAATGTTAATTCTGCTAGACTGCTACCTCTACAAAAAAATACTGTGTAGTGAAAAATTTTCAAGGGCTGTAAATTTTGCAGATTTGTCTTTAAAATCTATTTCGCAAATTTATACTGTCTTCCATCTTGTGCCTTAATAATTTTCACATATCTTCAAAAAATTGTGAAGTTTACAACCCTTGAAGAATTTTGCGCTATACGGTAGAGCAAAAAGTAATTATTTTTGAACTAAACTGAAGCAAATTTTTATCAAATCCCTGATGCACTGTGTGTGGTGTTATTAAATTTTAAGTATAAATGCTATTTCATTCCCCTCTTCCTTCTATATGTATCTCAATCCCCTTCAGTATAGCATGCATCATTTGGGCCAATTTGCTTAAGAAATCACAAAGAGAATTTTAATTTTGCTAGACTTCTACCTCTACAAAAAATAGAGCGAAAAAGCAATTATTTTTGAGCCAAACTGGTGCAAATTTAATATCAAAACCCTGATACACTAGTGCTATTAAATTTTAAGTATAATTTATTCTTCCTCCTATGTCTGTCTCCCCTCCAGTACAACTATTGCTAGTAATCTATTGCTGGTTGATGAAGTTATGAGGGCTGGTATGTCGTCACTCAAAGGATAAGAAAAAACTTACTTATTATTGTTACTGTTGGTTATTATTATTATTATTAAACTGTTTTCACCTCAAAATGACACACTACATTACCAGTTAATTTATCATTTATTGTACTTTAGAATAGAGAGAGAGAGAGGGGAGCGAGATGTCATGTGTGTAATAAGACTGTATGTAGTTTAATGGACTTTAGGAATTGAAAATAATTATCATTTTAATTTTTCTTAATTTGTGACTAAACTCGCAAACGCCATGGCCACGTTTTCAGCATTTCCTTCTTCTAGAATTACCAGCTGGGATAATGTTTTTGATTTTAAAGACAAAAATTAATATTTAATCACAATAATAATGATAATAATAACCTGGGGGTTGGATTAATAACGGTGATTCAATAATGTATTTTAAAAAGTCAATAAAATACAGAATGGAGCATCCGGTTTTAATTTAAGATACGATTATAATAATCATGACACTTTTAATTTGCTCTTCTCCTCACTTCTATAATACAGTCTTCTAGCACCTCTCAGAACTTTACAAAAGGCGGCGATGAACCAGGTGAACTGAATTAGGAACATGGTCCAAGCTGCAGTGTGACAGTACCACCCCATCTTGTTGACGGCCGCAAATATGTTCCCGTTGTGATGCTGCATGGCGTATAGCCAGTACATGAAAGGTATGGATAGGATTCGGACGAAGAAGAACACGACAATGAAGATGATTCCGTTGACTTGTTGAAGTTTGGAGTCTTTTAATGACGTCTATAGGTAAGAGAGAGAGAGAGAAGAAAGGGAGAGGAGAGGAGAGAGAGAAAGGGAGAGGGAGAGGAGACAGAGGGAGGGAGAGAGGGGGGAAAGGAGGGAGAGAGGGGTTGTCTTTTTAAGTGGTTGTGTACACAAGTACTTGTTTATGGTTACTTCACAATAATAAATTAATAATTGACAATTTTACGGCATTTTCCCCATATGGGATCCAGTCAACATGAAAGTGAAGATAAGGAATTTATTTGTTAGCAGGATCAAGTGTAGAATGCTATTAAAAAGGTTAGCTACATGTACATGTACATGTACATATACATTAAAGTCCAACATCCACTAAGCAACTTTATCAATGAAATCAACAGCAATCTTGAATAGAACACTGTTCTATTTCAGGCAACAAAGTTGACAGATATCAAAGTAATCACAAAGTTGCTTTCAAGAAAGTTGCCTAGTGGATGTTGGGCTTAAATTGTCTCTGTAAGCCACAAATTTTTAATTTGAAGTGTACAATGGCAACCATTACATGTCTATTTAATATACATTCTTTAAAACATGCCCCAGGTCACTAAGCAATTTCTATAGCAACAAAGGATTTGCTTCAACTTTGTGGGAAATTTGATAACATTGATGGTGTGTACATAATGTAACCATTAACATTATAAGTGTTCACGCATTAGAGCATTAAGTTGTTATATTCAATCAATCATTTACTATTAGAGAGAGTATCAATTCTCTATCTAATTTACCACAAATATATACACAGGGTCTTTTGTAAGAGATAATGGCTTACGTGATCAAAGATGAAGTGCATTGATATGAATGGAGTGCTTAGTTCCATGATGTAGAGAAGTCCCATCAGGCCATCGCCTATGTTGTTAATAATCTTTCCTTGCTATGGGGAGAGAGAGAGGGGGGAGGGAGGGAGGGAGAGGGAGAGAGGGAAGGGGGAGGGAGAGAGGAAAGGGGGAGGGAGGAGGGAGAGGGAGAGGGCGAGAAAGAGGGAGGAAGAGAGAGGGAGGGAGAAGGCGAGAAAGGAGGAGGGAGAGAGAGGGAGAGAGGAAAGTGAAAGAGAGACAGTGAAAGAAAGTATGACAAAACATTATGCAATAGTTGTGTGCTAGTCTTCTCTCTCATATAATGCCTAGTGTATTTAAGACAAAGTGCTAATGTTTTGGTACACAAACCCGTAATGCACTAAGCAACCATCTCAAACCTTTACAACATAATATTATTATCTTTTAGTCACTCCCTCTCTTTAAAAGGATCAAATATCAAATAAGAAGATAGTGGAGTGACCATGAATTAGATAGTGAAGTCATGCATTGATTACTGCCTACAGATTCAACTACATGTATATTAGTTGAATGGCATCTTATTGCATGTTATGATGATCCATTGCAAAACTCATAACAAACAATGACCCACAATTCTCAATAAATTAAGCATTTTGACAAAATTTTTTTGTTATTATACACGTACACTAATGGCAATATTATTTTGAATTAATAACCTACTGCAAATGGTATAGCTAATGTGAGAAGGATGAAGTGGTGGAAAATGAATATTCTTTTGTGATAAAGAAACTTTGACAGCTTTGCTTTGAAATTGACTAGTGTAGCACCGAGTCGACTGAAGCAAAACGTCTGGTACATTGCGTAGAGATCATGGATAAAATACCAGTAAATGTAACAAGTACAAGGAAGGATAAGTGAAGTCCTAGAAGAAGAGAAGAAAATGGAGAAATAGACAGATTAAGGAGAGTGTATTGTTTACTTAGAGTATACCACATCATGGTAAGTGTCCTTTAGAATAGCCACTCCAGAGAGACCACAAACTGTTGAGACGTAGAGCCCAACGATCCTGTGCAAAGAGAACAAGATACTAATTATCACTTGCTGTCGCCTCACTTTTCAGCTACAACGGCTGCAGCGTGCCCGGGCTTGTTGCAGAGTTCTCCGCTTTTATCCACCAGTTCCTTGACTTTACCGGGAAGGAGAAGGAACCTGGAGACAAAATAGAGCCCGTGGCAAGAGAAAGCGCCTGCTATAATGAGCAGCATTTGATACAAAGCCTCCATCTCCCAGGCACAATGAATCAGCTCAAACTTTTCTCTGCGACCCTTCCTTTATGGCGTGATATGGAGGCTAAGCCCGCCTGGTCGTACTGCGCATGCGCAGAAGTGGGCAGTCCCGGGAATCATTTTGCTCGCTGGTTTTATAGGCGGGGCTGACCCTCAAATGGCTACTAGCAGCAGCACTGGCAGTGGTGGGATTCCTCGCCTTCTCTATGACTCGGTACACGAGCCTCTCCTCCTCCCAGACCCTTCAACTCAATATGGGTCACCAATAGGAGGAACTGGGTCTGGCGGCTCTTCTGCGAGCGAGGCCAGAAAAAGGAATTTCACTGCTGCCTTGAACCCGAGCAGAGACAGCGAGAGTGAATTGGATACTCAGGAGAGAGAGCAGAGCCCTATGTTGGAAAGGAGGTATCTTGATGTCCCGCAGAGGTTCAAGGGGAGAGGGCAGCTCGGTGATCCAGCAGTCGATGAGAGCGGTACTATGATTAACGTTAGATCCATTGAAAACCGCTCCAGTGAAGTTCCAGGTAATGAAGCCACTGCTGTACCATTATTTGTATATTTGTGTGGCTGTAGACCTCACAAACAATCAATAGTTTGTGAAATTTGTATATTTACAATTGTTGGGTTTTCCAGTTCCTTTTGAGATGCTTGTTTTGCAGCCACGTCATGGGTCATTGAGCATGTCCTGAATTAAAAAAATTTGGCAGATTTTATATATATAAGTCTTCACTTATCATCATCATTCATTAATGATTCCCACCAATATTTCTTACTATGCAGTATTTTCATTTATTTCTTCTATTTTTAGGTTTTCATGAATTCGTTCCATACCTGAGGGACTCCAATCGAACGAAATACGAAGTGTGTTAGAACCCTCTCTCTCTCTTTCTCCCTCCTCCTCTCTCTCCCATCTTTCTCTCTCAACTAGTTATGAGACACCTAACCATTTAAACTTTAAATCACTGAAATCACAGGCAGTGCCCCATAGTAAATTTAATTTCATAGTTGCACATTATAATTCATTATTTTTTAAAACCTCTGCCACTGCAAGTTGGTATGACTCATTCTTTAATTAATACTTATTATTATTATTATCATAAAAGCTTTGCAGACACAAAATGGCACAAATAAGTAAAGGTTATACAACGAGGTAGAGGTACCTATGGCATTTATCATACCAAGGGCCATTCCCGGGAGGTATCTAGAAACCTGGTATTCTGCATTCTGATTGGTCAATTTAAATTTGGCATGGTAAAATAATAATAAGTATAGGTTATACAACGAGGTGAGGTATCTATGGCATTTATCATACCGAGGGCCCGAGGTATGATAAGGCCATAGATACCGACACAGAGTTGTATAACCGACTTCTACCATGTACTAAAATAAACAACTAGTTTACTTAGCAACACTTAGCAACAGCATGGCATGCATGCCTATTTTTAGCAGGAGGTTAATAAGTAATTTCCCCGGGCAAACTTATTAACCTCCCGGGCAAACTTATTAACCTCCTATTACCAGGGAAATTACTTATCAAACCTCCTAGTGGTAAATAAGTTATTTATGAACCTAAAATCAAGCAATCTGATTGGTCAATTGCAACTAGGCATGGTAGAATAATAATAATAATAATAATAAAAATAATAATAACTTGACCATCTTGTCATAAGAGGAATAATGAATACACTCTCTGTGTTTGTGTTATGTTCATTCATTTGTGTATTTGTGGTTAGCTATGTTTATAAACAACAATTAATTGCACACAATAACTCTAAAAAGAAATGATATAAAAGTTGCTTATAATGAAACCATAACCCAGCCCCTCCCATGACGTGCTATTTATTAATTCAAAGCAATTGTTTATTTAAAGGCCTTTCTACACTTGTCCACTTTGGATCCAGAATTGCAACCTACTAAGATAGAATCCTCTTTGGTTGTGTTCACACTAAGCTACTTTGAAGAATTAAAAGTGAATTAAACTGCATTGGCTGCTACAGGTTATGAATATTTAATTGAGATCAATCTACTTCAATCCACCTCTGGATGTGGATTGACTGGATCTAGCTCCAATCCCAATTCAAGACAAGTGTGAACAAGCTAATCCTTCTTTAATCCTGGATTTTGTCTTAATTCTGGATCCAAAGTGGACAAGTGTAGAAAGGTCTTAAAGCACTAATTGTATGTAATAAAAAATGTTAATATAAACATGTACATGTATTGACTTCAAAACAAAATTATTTTTTAATTATTATTATTATGTAATATTTAAAGCACTAATATTTTGTAATATTTAAAGAACTTATTTATTTAATTTTACATAGGAAGCTGCCCTATTTGCAAAAGAAGGTGAAGATAACAATAAATTTGCGTCTCACCCAAACGGGAAATATTCGAAAGTTGCCTATCACTTGGTTCATCATCCAGTGGTGTACATGATCGATTTCATAGCGTCTTGTTTGCTATTGGGACTTGCCGTCATAGAGCACCCATCACTCATTCCCTACCCAGCCAATGAGGAGCACAAGATCATTGCAGTGAGTTAACGAGGAGGTGTGGTTTAGTTAATAATGACACACCCTCTGCTTTTATGCTAAATCCTACAAAATCTTATTGGAGTTTTAATTTTGCAGATTCCACATTTTAGAAACATGGAGATAAAGATTATGTGGTCCATAACTTATTTTTGATTGATTTTTGAAAAAAATTAATCCTTGACAATTTTGCTATATAGTATATACTATCTTATTTCTGATAAGGATGCTTTTAGATTTATTTTTATCATCTGTTTAGGTCCATACATGTCTAGAGTTGATACTACTATCAATAATTGGTTTCAATATTGTCCTGAGAGTCATTTGGATGAAGCCTCGAACTTTCCTGAGACAGAGAGCCGTTATAGCTGTAAATTTAGAAAAAAAATATATTCAACCAGTCTTACTTACCTCTTCCCCTTTCCTTTACAGGCTATCATACTAATTGTCATGTATATAGAGGCAATGGTTATCCTCTTCCAGCAGTCAAATCACTTCAGAATCACTCGCTGTCTTAGGATTGTCTTCTTTGTTGACAGTTACATACTGGTGGGAGTGAGACGGTATGGGAATGAAAGCTTGAGAATGAAAGCTTGAGAATGAGAGTATAAGAATAAATGCTTAAAAATGAGAGTATGAGAATGAAAGCTTGAGAATGAGAGTATGAGAATAAATGCTTAAGAATGAAGCATGAGAATAAATGCTTAAGAATGAGAGTATTATATTTTAAAATAATAAGTTGCTATTTTTCTTCTTTATCTAGAGTATTACGTCAGATTATTCAGTGTTTGAAACCTATCCTAGATGTCATGATATTATTGTTCTTTATGATGGCAATATTCGCTTTAATGGGTAAGAGCACACTCAGCTAGATCTAATTAATTAATGTAGGCGTGGTTACAATCATAGCAAGTAATTGATTAATTGGACCAAATATTGAGTCACAAAAATTTTTATTCATGTACATAACTTTAAAATCTTAGTTACTTAATTTTATATTTTTAGGATATTATTTATTTGCCACTATTGATCCGACTGTAAGTCACATTATTTATTTATTTATTTATTTATTTATTTATTTTATTTATTTATTTATTTTATTTATTTATTTATTTTATTTTGTTAGTTTTTCGATTCCTATCTCAAATCCTTTGTGAGTCTCTTCATTACGCTCACTACCGCTAAGTAAGTCCATATATGGTCGTGTGACAGTCATGTGACGCATTAATTTCCATATATAGTCATCCTGATGTTTTCATGGAAGCTTACGTTCGTAACAAATGGTCTCCATTGTTCTTTGTTCTTTATTTGTTTGTGACACTTTACTTCTTTTCTAATGTGGTACGTAAATGTAGTTTCTATTCTTAATTTTTACATACTGTGATACATGCACATGTACATAGCTGATAATTATGAAATTGTAAAGTTTTGACAAATTGCTAATTCAAGCTACAGTATCATTAGCATAATGATACTGTAGTATCATCATCTAGTATTATCAGTATTATTATAGTAGTATTATTATAGTAGTAGTATTATTAGTAGTATTATGTAGTATTATCATCTGTAATTATACTGTAATTATCATTAGTATACAGTATCATCTTGGTTTCATTAATTTTTGTACACTGTAGCTGTATGCCATTTAGCATGTACATATTGCATAATGGTTCAAAATGGTGCATTTGATTCGGACTGTCAAAATTCCAATTTTTTCCATCATCCCTCTCTTCAAAGTTGCCACCCGTACTATACCTCCATTTTGTGCTCTTTTTATTGTTTTTTTTGCTTTATCCCTCTCTCTCTTCTCTTCTCTCTCTCTTTCTCAGTTGTTGGCTGTTGTGTATGCTCACTTTAATGATGAGGAGAAGAACAAGTTTAGAAAACTCTTCCTTCACAAAAGGTAACAATACACAACCCTCCATTTATTAACACAAGCTCTGTGTGTAATACTTTTAATAATTGTTATTCTATCCATTGACTCATTAACTGCTCAATTATCAAAATGTGCTTCATTGAATTACCATATTAGCTTCATACTTTCATGGTTCGAAAATTTTTTCCTACAAATTTAAAATAAAAGTTTAATGAATCAAGTTTTTAACAATGATGACCACAGTATAGTTTTTTGTGATTTATAATTTTGTGATTATAATAAAATTTCACAAAAACTTTTTAGCCACAAAAATTTGGAGCTACATGTATGTACAGTACATGCACATGTACATGTATGCATGTTGTTTTTGTTGATATTTTTATGTGTTTAGATACTTTCTGTTTACATAGGACCTGTGATTATTCTTTCATTATTTAGGGAAGCACTAAAGATAGCATTCTCTGTCTTGGCAGTTGATGGAAAGCTTAACTATCACGACTTTGTGTTCTTCATGCTGGAATACAAGCCTAGGATACGTGAGTTTATATTTAGTAACAGTGTGATTACATCATTGCTTCCTGTTGCTATTTATAGCGGAGTATCAAGTGATGTGTATCTTCAAAGGGTTGAAGGAGAAGGAAGAGGTTGGTAGCAATGAGGATGGCGACTATTTGTGTATGAACGAGTTTCTTAATCTTTATGAGTTCCGCAGCTTAAAATGGAAACAGGTGAGACATGCATAGTTACGAATAATGATAATAATAATAATAATAATAATAATAATAATAATAATAATTTCTGTATTATATATCTGCTCTATCTATACTACTCCTGAGTTTTTCTTCTTTTTTTGTTATAATAATAATAATGATAATAATAATAATGTTACATGTACTTGTTAATTTTAATAGCTAATGCTTTAAATTTAAATTTACAATAATATAATTTTTATTAGTAATTATAATCCTGTACCAGGTTAGGAATGACGGACGGAATGTTGAATGGTATGATGACTTCCCCCAAAAAATCAAACCATTTTTTGCAAGTAAGTATTAATATTTTACTTGTTATACATGTATTCCATTATCTTTAATGCAAAGGGAATTAAATCAAGTTCTTTATATATCTACTAAGACTATGGGCTATATATAATCCATGCTTTTTTCTGAAATTTTGCTACTTTTTTTAATGGCCATAACTCGAAAAATTAAAGTCAGAATCACCTCAAACTTTCTACATAGCATAAGGACATCAATGTGTATCAGAAAATGTAATAAAAATTGGGGGTGATTTCGGAGCCATTTTTTGGAAAAAACCATGGGCTATATATAGTCCATGGTTTTTTCTGAAATTTTGCTAATTTTTAAAATGGCCATAACTTGAAAAATTAAAGTCGGAATCACCTCAAACTTTCTACATGGCATAAGGACATCAACATGTATCAGAAAATGTAATAAAATTGTGTGTGATTTCGGAGCCATTTTTTCGAAAAAAACCATGGGCTATAGTCCATGGTTTTTTCTGAAATTTTGGTACTTTTTAAAATGGCCATAACTCGAAAAATCAAAGTTGGAATCACCTCAAACTTTCTACATAGCATAAGGACATCAATATGTATCAGAAAATGTAATAAAAATTGTGGGTGATTTCGGAGCCATTTTTTGGAAAAAACCATGGGCTATAGTCCATGCTTTTTTCTGAAATTTTGCTACTTTTTCAAAATGGCCATAACTTGAAAAATTAAAGTCGGAATTGGCTCAAACTTTCTACATAGCATAAGGACATCAATACGAATCAAAAAATGTAATAAAAATTGGGGGCGATTTTGGAGCCATTTTTTGGAAAAAACCATGGGCTATAGTCCATGCTTTTTTCTGAAATCTTGCTATTTTTTCAAAATGGCCATAACTCGAAAAATTAAAGTCAGAATCACCGCAAACTTTCTACATAGCATAAGGACATCAATATGTATCAGAAAATGTAATAAAAATTGAGGGTAATTTCGGAGCCATTTTTTGGAAAAAACCATGGGCTATAGTCCATGCTTTTTTCTGAAATCTTGCTACTTTTTCAAAATGGCCATAACTTGAAAAATTAAAGTCGGAATCGGCTCAAACTTTCTACATAGCATAAGGACATCAATACGAATCAAAAAATGTAATAAAAATTGGGGGCGATTTTGGAGCCATTTTTTGGAAAAAACCATAGGCTATAGTCCATGCTTTTTTCTGAAATCTTGCTATTTTTTTAAAATGGCCATAACTCGAAAAATTAAAGTCAGAATCACCGCAAACTTTCTACATAGCATAAGGACATCAATATGTATCAGAAAATGTAATAAAAATTGGGGGTGATTTCGGAGCCATTTTTTGGAAAAACCATGGGCTATAGTCCATGCTTTTTTCTGAAATTTTGCTACTTTTTCAAAATGGCCATAACTTGAAAAATTAAAGTCGGAATCGGCTCAAACTTTGTACATAGCATAAGGACATCAATATGTATCAGAAATTGTAATAAAAATTGGAAGTAATTTTGGAGCCATTTTTTGGATAAATAGCCCATGCTTTTTTACACAGCCATAAGTACATTAATGATCTTCTCATTTTTAGAACTAAATAAAGCTGTTCATTTCAAATACTTCAATTCTGTCATGGGTAAGTGATTATATATATTTGTTAATAATTTTTATTAATTGTATCTTTATAGCTCTTATTGTCCTTGCAAATGCTCTCTATCTTGTTTTATTCACACTAGCAACTAGTTTCTATTGTGGTAAGAAAGGGAGAAGGGAGAGAGAGAAAAGAGAAAGGGGAAATTATACTCAGAGCTCAAAATGCAAAATTAGAAACTTTGCTGTGATAAGTACATGTAGTATCAAGGCAGGCCTCGTGTGATGATTCAAGCCTTAAGTTTTAATCAAAAATATTTTGTCTTTTTACCCTGTTTTATACATGAAAGTTTTGAGCTATTATACCATGTAGCGCTTTATTTTGGCGATCTTTGCTATAAAATTGTAACTGATGTTTTTTTAATTTGGTTTTTTTGTGTACACACGTGCATTACTGAGCATGCGCATTAATGATTGGCGGTTTTAATATTAGTGATTCCACTTGCAAACCACCAATCTCCAAAATAAAACTCCGCCAAATTAAAGCGCTATACGGTAGTATATGAATGAAAGAAGAATGCAGAAAAGAGAGGGGAGAGAGAGTGAGAGAGATCATAAAAGAGTAAAGAGTAATTTCTCTATTCCTATAGGTACTGATGGAGCCAATAACCCTACTATCATATCATCACATGTAAATCAAGATTTGAAGAAATATTGCAAAGATGACAGATTCACGGCCGGTCGTAATGCTATTTATGGATCATTTGTATTTGTCTTTAGTAAGTCACGTTACTATTTATAACTTACAAATTATTGTAATGATACTATTAATAGAATGGTAAATAAAGGTATTACAATGTTACTATTTATAGCTTTCAAAGTACTAGATTGCTAAATTATGCTGTTACTATTTATAGCACTATGTCTTTTTAAAATATCTTTGTGTTACTATTTATAGCATACTGAATACTATGTTACTATTTTTAGCATTTAATGTGTCAATTGTTCTATTAATAGTATATGTGGCTGAAATATCAATAAGAATATTAGCTGTTGGACCATTGGAATATTTCAGAAAATGGTGGAATAGGTAAAAGTAATAATAATAATAATAATAATAATAATGATAATAATAATAATGATGATCAAATATTTAATAATTGTATTAATTAGGTTTGATTTTATCATAATATTGCTCAGCGTAATATTTCTAATTATTGAAGCTGATGCCGGCCCCTCCCACAAAGCTCTCCGCTATCTCATAGTATTTCGACCAATCAAATTTCTCCGGTAATTAAAAATTATTTTTGTCACACAAATCCATTAAATGTGTAATTTAGGTTGCTACGGTTACGACGCCGTTACTATGACATCATGAATACAGTTTTTGTGCTTGGACACAGACTATTGAGGTATTAATAACTAGTTAATAACTACTTAATAATTTAGTATCAAAATTTTTTATTTATTTAATTTTTATTTTGTAGCGTTCTCCTCCTCATTTTTGTTATATTTTATTTTTATGCTATTATTGGAATGGAAGTATTTGCTGGAAAGGTTTTTGTGGGTTGCTGGTAAGTTAAAATAGTATTTCTAAAATTAACAACATATTACCATACCACTTACACGTACAAATGTACCACCATATTTATTATGAAATATTTAGCTGAGAATAAATACATATCACCTTAAAGCCACTATTATTTGCGATTACTAATTTTTTCCGTTTTTTGCAAGTGGCTTTAAAATCGCAAAAAATTAGTACTCGCATTTATTAATAATTTAGGCTTATTAACAGTTATTAATTGAAAAAAATAGCAAAATTGCAAAAATTAGTACACGTTAAATCAATACCATTAAAAAATCGCAAAAATTTGTTTACTTAAAAACAAGTGGCTTTAAGGTATGTGGATATAATTTTTACAGCTTGACAATAGTGCTCATTATTATTATTAGGCATTTGTTATTGTGAGCAGCAGGGTAATGCTATACATTGAATATAACTTGCATTTCATTTTATGAGCATATACATACACATGTATGATTAACTTCTTGCTAAAGCTGTTTCTATTTTTTCTCATTTACAGTGACAAAGCATTGTTTGGTGTTGGTGGTGAATACCAAGGGAATGGTAGTATAACTAAACCTTCTCCTGAAGTCTATTGGCTCAATAATTTTGACAACATCTATCAAAGCTATAGTAAGCCATCCATCAATATAAACTGCATATATTTAATGATATCTTCCTTTAGTTATATTGTATGAAGAGATGGTTGTTAATAACTGGTTTGTGCAGATGGTGAGATATCACATGATTGTCATGTGACATTATTATTAATTTATTATTGTAGGAGGGGTTTGTCGCTGCTACTAATATCGCTGCCAGAGTCTATTTCTTTTTATTTTGGTGCACTACTACTGTGAGTAATGCATAATGTTTTATCTCTTTTTTTTCTTGACCATTTTCCTGTGTAATCATTTTCATTATTATCTTTTAATTTGCCTCTGTTTTTTCCTTCTCCTTTCTCCCTCTGTCTTCTTTTATCTCTCTCTCCTTTCCATCCCCTCTTTCCCCCTTTATTCCATCCCCTATCTATTCTCCTTCTCTCTCCCCTCTCCCTCCATTCCCCAGGTGTGTCTCTCAGTCGTTATTGCTTATATAGTGGATGCTTTTGTTTTTCGTATACAAGCCTCTGAAATGAAGAAAAGATGTGAGAAGCATGCAGACCAGTTTGAATGCACCTGTCAGCCATGTAAGTATAGACAAGAATGGTATAGATTATAAATATTAATACCGTAAATCTTCCAATAAAAGCCCAGGTGTCTATTTCTTAAAATGACATTTTGACCTCGAAAAAATAAAATAAAATAAAACTTGAGCCAACAGCGGGATTTGAACCTTGGACTTCATGCAACTGACTTCAGGAAGCTTAAAGAAGTATCTACAAAGCATTTGTGGTGGTATAAGGCTAGATTTACGTACGTTGTATTTATAGTTCCATTTTATTGCTAACCCGGCATTTATTTGCACTTGGCTTTTATTTGAGGATATGTGGTAATATTTTGCAGTTAAATGAATAAGTGTATGCTCTGATAGGTAATTTATGGGTTGTACATGTAGCTGCATGATGAATAAAATTATCAAAACCCTTGCTCTTATGACATTATTTTAACAAAATTTTATAATTCTTTTTTCCTCTCTAATTCTTCCTCTCTCTCTCCCCCCCCCTCTCTCAGCCCGTAAGAAGAAGGTTGAGATCACACTCGCTGGTAGAGACATAAATCAAATAAAGTACCAGACTACACTCATGGAAGAGAACGATAGAAGAAAAAGAGGGAAACGACTGGATTTTATTAATCATTCCATCAGAAAAATAAGAAGAATTGATTTTGATCTCATTCCTAGTGTAAGGCCTGAGGTACTTTATTTTTATTATTTAATTTTCCTGTCCCTGTTATTTTAATAACTAAAACTTTGTGTATTTTGAAAAATATTTTTTTAATTTTTTACACTTTTAAATTGTATAATTCTAATGCAGTTTATTTTATTTTTATATTTCTTTATTTTTCATTTTAGCGTGAGGTGTACTTCACTGGTAAAAGATTGCGCACTAAAGAAGATCTTAATTTAGAAATGTACCGCTCTGAACTTCAGGTATAAATGGAGATCGAGAGACTGAAATAATTGGAAAAAAAATATTGAGAAAGAGTGAGAGAAAAAGAGGGAAGGAAGTAGAAAGAAAAATTGATTGAGATTTAAAATGTGATTAAAATAGTATATTATTATTATTAATTTATTATTATTATTATTTAATGAGTAAGCTCCTATAATTATAATTCTTAATTTAAATAGGATTGGATTGCAGGAAGGGAGTATCAGTTACAGAACATAACACCTGAGCAGAGAGAGAAAAAATCATTTAAAGTCACTCTCCGTTCCAAGGTCAAAGCTGTCGTGTTGTTCCTGCTGGAATGAATGAAATTTTAAAACCCGTTTTATGACTTTTTGAGTAAATTTTTGTGCCATTCAGTGTTGAGTGTTATTTTTGATTATATGATTTTTATACTCAAAGAATTATATGAAGTAACTACTTTTACTGCATCTGGTTTAATAAAATGAAGAATTTTCTTCTAGCCATTTTTCATGAAATAAATACTGTACTATAATAGTTGGCGCTAAATTTGAAGCAGCTTCTAATTAATTTAAATACCGTATAGGGGGTATATTTCCCATGGAAAATATTTCATGAAAATCACCTTTTAACCTATTCACGAGAAAAAAATTTTGTATTTTTCTTCTACTGACCATTATTAGTATGATAAAAAAATAATTTTCATAGATAAAAATTTTCACAAATTTTTTTAAAACCGTGATATTAGAGAAATTAAATACCCATGAAATATACCCCCTATAATAAATATAAAATTTATTAATAATTAATTTATATTTTTTAATAATCATCAGCATGCAGAAGTGCAGGCATTACTGTGCATTGTAATGTTATGTTGACAATAATTGTAGGACAAAAATAATATTTATACTGAAGATAGTTCTGGGGTCAACCCACTACACTTTTATTGACTCCTAACTATTGACTAATTTTGATTTTTGAATTATAATATTGATTTTTAATAAACAATAATACTTTCTTAGTAATAATAATAGTTACAGGATAGTAGATCTACATACTTTAATGATAAATCATTAATTATTTATCATCAAACTTTAGTATGAATTAGTAGTCATAATAATAGAACTACAATGTGGGGGACGAGACTAAACTACAATGTTTTCAGAAATTAAAACTACACAAGGTCTAAAATCATTATCCAGTACAATAATAGCTAGCCCATGGTCCTTGGCCAAATTTTAAAGCAATCTCATAAATTTTAGAATCATTTTTATCACATTATAGTGGAAATTCATCAATAAAATTAGTTGTTAGATCTCATTCTCTTTGATTATGGTTTTACTCCCCAGAGTGGTTCGTATTTGTAGAAGAGGAGGAGAAGTCTTACAAGATTGTGATGTCTACATTGGCAGGGCAGTCCACAGAGGAGGTTGGAACTTGGAAGCCAGCAAGTGGGCCAATCCATTTAAAATAAAACCAGGTCTTCCAGTGGAGTCAGTACTGTCTGCTTATGAACAACATGTCAAAGCAAACCCAACCCTAATGAGAGAGATCCCTTCATTAGCAGGAAAGACGCTAGGTTGCTGGTGTAAACCCAACCCTTGTCATGGGGATGTATTAGTGAAGCTATTTAAAGAGTACTTGGAAAAGAAAGGAGTTAAAAATTCATAGTGTGGACTCAGTGTGGATCAAGGAGCACCTAGCTAATTATGACTGGAAGGAGTTACATTACATTTACAATAACATTAACATACAATACATGAAAACATGCATGTACCATAATCTATTTCTGTTATTGACAGTTGGTTAACTTAATTTTATTATATTACCTTCAAAAAGTATCACAATTATCTAAATGAACTAAATTTAGCTCTGATCTCATCAACATTTTTGAGGTTATGGACTGTTTTCACTTCCCTTTGACTTAATGGCATGATTAACATTTTGGCTGTTTCAAATTTTAACTAATGCTGCTAATCAAATTAAGATTTGATTAAGTATTAGTAAAACATGTACTAAAGGTATAAATTATTGGTAAATGATAATATTATATACTTACTATTATTTAAATTTATTACATTTATTGTATTATGTATATTGCTTCCTGTATTATGCATTGCAAATGCTTTCTAACGATAAGGCTATGTTTTTTGTCATTCTTGGTACCCAGTCACTTTTAGTATGCTTTGTATGTACAGCAGTGATAACAATTAAGTGTCTTTGATAAGATTATCATTTGAACAAACATTTTTACAGTTCTAAGTTCTAACCATACATCAATACAAGACTAACTATTATGAGGATAAGTATTGTCTTTTTACTTGATATAAATCTCATACAATTGAACTGGAGTATCTTCATCTGCATATCTACTATTACCACACACCCTCAGTTCAATGTAATCAGTAATGGTAGCATTACCATAATCTCTGAAGAACCACGGAAGACCAGTAGCTGTACAACAAGGAGCTTCTACTGAAAGACAGTTATTCCCATCCCACAATGGATCACCAGTGTATACTGTACCATGGGAAGGAGCACTGTTTGTACCTGACTCACAATAGTAGTGCTCTCCTACAAATAATGGAACTGCATTAGTTGCTCCAGTATTACAAGGACAGGTGAAAGCTCTATTGATATCTGAAGTATATCCAGCTATATAAGACCAGGCATGTTGACGAGGTGACCCATGTGTGATACTGACTCCATCAATATAAGCATCATTGATATCATTGATGTTAAATTGAACAGCATCAGTTGATCCCTTTTGATATCCAACCACTTTACCACATATTTGACTATAACTGATACCATTTGTTTGGAATATGTTAGACCTACAACCAGCAGAATTACTCTCTCTCCTACAAACTCTAATGCCTCCAGTCATCAATTCCTGAAGTCCAGAAGGACAGTTCATAGTCATATCAAGATAAGCTATTCTTGTCCATCCTCCATCTTGTCCACACAGTTCTCCCATATTGCAGTATATATTGTGACCATTAACATGATAGTAACCAGAAGGACTATTGGGGCGAGCTACTCTTATATCTTTACAAGATACAGGTTGAATAGCAGAATTAAGCAAAGAGGATCCATTCTTTATCTCTAGTAATTCATTGAATAAATCATCTATTTTATTCTGTATCAGTGACATGCCACTGTTAATAGCAGTATTACCACTATTAGTGAGGCCAGCATTGTTGCTCCTTGCGGTATCTTTTGATATTAAGTTAAGTACAAGTATAGCTACCAATAGGAATATTATGATCACCAGTAGAATTATTATTGCAGCAAATGACTTCTTTCCTACAGTATACTGCACTGGTTGTTGAGGAGGTTTGGTATCCTTAACATTAGCTTTTGGTAGCTGATAATCTAATGAATATATCATACATTAGTTTTAATAATAAATTACTTGTATGGTATATACCTGAGTAGTCATGAAGATCTGAGTACATTGCTTCTTCAGTACTAGTATGAGTCTTTACTACTAGTTCATAGGCTGTGTTTTGTGTCAGTGTGAAATCCTTAGCTTCACTTTGAAAACTTGTTGTCATTGTCTTGTTTTCCATCTTAACAGCTCTTCTTCTTATATTTTTTTTAATTATAACTATCCTTATATATAGATATGCATACATATCTTTGATATTCATGTTGAATTTGAATCTTTGCTTTCATTATAGCATAGATATTATAGACTACGTAACCCGTATACGTATTTTTATTTTTATTTTTTCCAATCCCGTATACGTAGTCTCTAATATCTATGATTATAGATAGCCTGGCAAGGTTTTGTTTTTATAAATTGTAATATCTCAAGATTATCACACAATGTTTGTTTGCACAATAATTATTATTTTGTATTTGTACTAATGACAATGTTCTATAACACTAACAACTAACAAAAACATACACTACTTATAATTATTAATATGTTCCTTTACTTGACATAAATCTCATACAATTGAACTGGAGTATCTTCATTACTCCATTTTTCATTCCCACACACCCTCAGTTCAATGTAATCAGTAATGGTAGCATTACCATAATCTCTGAAGAACCATGGAAGACCAGTACCAGTACAACAAGGAGCTTCATATGAAAGACAGTTATTCCCATCCCACAATGGATCAGCAGTAAAAGTGGAGTCATTGTTTGGATCTTTGTCTGTAGTGCCTGACTCACAATAGTAGTGCTCTCCTACAAATGATTGAACCTCATTATTTGTATCAGCATTACTGTTGCAAGGACAAACATGGTCTAGATAATTAGGGATATCTATATTGCTGATATTACTTGATAGCCCAGCTATAAAAGACCAGACATGTTGACGAGGTGATCCACGTGTGATACTGACTCCATCAATATAAGCATCATTGATATTTTTGTCAATGCTTACAACTCCATTAGGCCTTCCCTTTTGATATCCAACTACTTTACCACATATTTGACTATAACTGATACCATTTGTTTGGAATACATTAGACCTACAACCACCATAACTATTCTCTCTCCTACAAAGTCTAATCCCTCCAGCCATCAATTCCTCAAGTCCAGAAGGACAGTTTTGTGTAATGTCAGTCATATCAAGATAAGCTATTCTTGTCCATCCTCCATCTTGCCCACACAGCTCTCCCATATTGCAGTATGTATTGCGACTGTTAATATAATAGTAACCAGAAGGACTGTTGGGATGAGCTGCTTTAATATCTTTACAAGAAACGAGTCGAATAACAGAATTGAACAAAGAGGATCTATTCTGTATCTCTAGTAATTCATTGACTATTAGTAGTACATCATTAACAGCAGCAGCAGTTGGTATACTGATATCTTTAATAAGACTAGTGTTCAGTAATTGAAGTAGTTCATCTGTAGACCTGTTGGTATTATTAGCATGTACCATAATCTGTTGAATTATGCTATTCATTGTATCCTGTATCAGTGAGAGGTTACTGTTAACATTGTGATCATGAATCTGCTCCTTTATATCCTCCACATTTTTCTGTATCAGTGACAGGTTACAGTTAATAGCAGTATTACCACTATTAGTGAGGCCAGCACTATTACTGCTTGTATCACTTGTACATGAACCTTTATTAAGCAACTGTACTACCAGCACACATACCAATAGTATCAGTATGAGTGCCAGTAGGACTATTGTAACAACTTGTAGTCCCTTCCCTGCAGTATACTGCACTGACTGTTGAGATTTGACAGTGTAAGTATCTTGTCCTTTTCCATTGTTATCCGTTGGTTGATTGAAAGACACATCGGCAGTATCATACAATTGAGATGAGTCATAAGATGAGTGCTGATCTGACTCAACACTGCTACAATACTGAGGCCTGAGTAGCTTCTCTGTTGATGGTCCACTGTGGGAGAGATGTGCATACTCACCAAGCTCTGAATACATTGATCCTTTGGGTCCATTGTTTGGTCCTTGAGAAGGTTTCAATTGATTGTCATGATCAGTGGCAAGGTCATAATACACTGGAGCTGAGGATTCATTGCTTTGAAAACTTGTTGACAGTGTAGTTCATGTTCTCCATCTCTCTATGTGACTTTACTAAATTACTGATTGATTATGCTGACTTTTATGATG